ATCCTACCTACAATCAACAACTTATTTGTTAGGGATTATCAAATCAATTACAAGTAATCAAATGAACTAGACTTAAAAAAGTTATCCCAGGAAAGGCACTTATGAAATAGGGAAATAAATTTTTACAACGTCATTTACGTGGCTGAGTTTTCAATAGTAATGAGGAGACAAAAAGAAGAAAAGGTAATAGAACCTTGTTGCGTTCTGACTATATGATGACGATGACCTTTATATAACATATAGGGAGAAAGAGAGACGAATGTCTATGTTCAATCTAGAACTCGCTGGTTTTTCTCCATTTCGAATTGGGTTTGTATATGTATTACTATAGAAAATAAACGGAAGAGAACTATAATTATGAAATTTTATCTAAAATGTAAAATCAATAAACAAATTATATATACAAAAAGATTATATAAATCCCCAATATTCACACATTAAAATATGCCCGATAGAAGTATGTCTTCTAAAAATACAAAAAAGTAGTTATTCATAACTCAGGTGGCTTTACAAAAGGTAAATGAATGAGCATAAAAGCACAGCTGTTTTTAAAACTTAATATTATTAGACAAATTGTGGATATCCATTACCGCTTGTCTATAAAATGAATGAGAAGACTATGCTAAAATATGATACGGCAGAAAAAACGGCAATGTAAAGCAAATATGATGATTTTGTCACAGCATAAGAATATTGCCTCGTACTGTTATATAACAATTTTTTGTCGCTGTTTGTTGCTGTTTACAGTTTTTCGAAAAATGAACTCAGATTTAAATATTTAAACGTCAAATAAAATACAAAAACCTATTTAACCTTATTCCCAGCATTATTCTTAAACACTGACATAACTTCACAAGAAAATAATTTTAAAAAATCATTGCGAAATTCAAAATTTATATTTATACCGGTATCTCAGAAAATAATAATATTTGTATAAAGTATAGTCATATTTTGAGATAAAATCTTCAATTCAGAGCAAAAAACTGAGCACACAAATATTTATTATTTTATGTACTATGTTGTTAAATAAGTATACTCAAAACAAATAAATATTGTCTACCAAGTGCTCTACTCCAGTTTAATATCTTCTTCTTCTTCTTCCTTCTTTATAAATTATCTTATTGCCTGTTTTACTTCGGTTTTGAGCCTCAATTGACGTTGTCTGACCATATTTTCCTCGGTCGTCCCAATGATCTCCTTCCATTTGGCGATTTGTCTCTTGCTATTCGTACTATTCTATTTTCTGTCATTCTTTCGAAGTGTTGATTCCATTCCGCTTTCTTCTTTTGGTCCACGCGTTTATTTCCTCTAAACCACATCTCGCTCGTATTTCTTCACTTCTTAGTCTTTCTCTTAGAGTTTAGTTTGTTATTTTTCGTAAGACTTTCATTTCTGTTGTTTCTAGCAGTCTTTGTGTTTTTGCCGTATCTGCTCTTGTTTCCGCTATGTACGTCATTATCGGTCTTATTGTTGATTTTTATATCCTCAGTTTAATATCAGTTTAATATCAATGCATAAAATATTATAAAAATTTCGTCATAGTTGTAAATGTATATTAGATAAAACCAAATGTAGAGCATATAGTGAAATCTGAATATCTTAGAATAACTATAACGAACGAGAACATTATTGATAAGGAAAAGCCAGGCCCATCGCTAAGAAAGTGAGAAAGCAATTGGCAAAAGCAAAGGGTACTTTGTACTAAAGTAGCCGTACTCTAAAGCATAAGCATGTCATTTTCTACTCTTTTAGTAAGCGATGGATCCGACCGTTACTTGATAAAAATTCATTTTATCTAACAATAAAAGATGTATGCGTTTACACGTTATAGTTTGTAACTGAATAAGTTAAGGACGGGAGAATTGTTTGTCTCAAGTTGGCCATTCAGAATTATGTCTTTATTTTTTAATTTGCTAATTTCCATAGATTCTACTTTTCATAGAATCTAAAGGTAGCTTCAGGGCTTTATTATAAATATACTTTTTTAGGAATGAAAATACGTAAATAGAACCTGGAATATGCATGTAACGTAAACTTTGATCTCTGAGATAAACCCAACTCCTGAACAATGGCGCCGATATATGTAGTTAAAATTTTGTACACCTATTTTAACCGTTTATTTCCTTATTATCCATATATGAGTTGTGACCGATATAACAAACTCATTTATTTTTCACAAAGAGACTCTACATATATTATCTACATTTATTACTATACAAATCTGATCGAAATATTGTCTAAAAGTAACAGTAAGTAAAATTAAAATTTTTAATGAAAAGTAAAAGATTAGCCATATTTTATTTATTTAAATTTAAAGATCGGCCTTTTTAATGCCAACTATCCTAATTATGTCTATAAATATTAGAGAAGGGAATATCCAGAGATAAAGATAGGTACTTTACTTTACTTAACTTTATCAGACATATGCGGTTAACACAAATGTGACGTATTTCTAGTGCAGGAAACACATTGAGGGCCAAACATAGGCAAACAAGAAAAGAAAAACTTAAAATGAGAGGGGACAAAACCAGTCAGCTAAGGGAATCTTTCAACGGTGTTGAGCTTGGATCTGCTATCTACGTATATAATGAACAATATTACGGCTCCTGACTAAAGATCTGAGCACAAAACGAATTCTAAAATTTGGATCAAAAATACAACAATGGCTTGTATTGTCCGGGTATGCCTACACAACAGAAGATTTTTCGTATCATTCAATGGTAAAAATAACAGATGGAAAACGCAGAACAACGGTCTCCTTTGGGGCAGCGTATTGGTACCTACACTGTATAATATTTACACAACCCATACCAGTAAATACTAGGACTTTTATTATTTAGACGATACATCTATATTGTTGCACAACCAAAAACTTTTGTTGCTGAAGTATAGAAAAATCTAAATCATACTTTAAACACAATAAAAATAGACTATAAATCAATTTTAAGCCAAACCTCAGAAAAAGTCAGATGTCCTGCTTTAATGTCCCTAACAGAGATGCTTTTAAAAATCTAAACATCCAATAGTGTCATGAAATTTTTAAACTCTGGACTTGCTATAAATACCTTGAAGATAGTTTGTATCACACTTTGTCATTCATAGAACATTGTTTAAAACTAAAAGGCAAACTGAGGACCAGAAAAATAATCTCTGCAAACTTGTCAGCTAAAAATGAGAAGCATCCTTTCATCCTTAAAACGTAGACGCTTGCACTCTATGTTTCTGCTACCGAATATACCTTGCAAGTATGGATGACACCAACACATATTTAACACGTAGATTTAGCTATAAATTAGACAGCCAAATTCAGCGAATATTAAGACACACACACACACACACACACACACACACACACACACACACACACACACACACACACACACACACACACACACACATCCATACATAAGTTCTACAATATCGTAGCTATCAATTCACCTAATATCCGAAGATAAGTAGCTAGACTGCTAGAGAATAAAAGATACAAAGTCTAGAATCGCAACATCCACTCAACGAATACCAGCTCAATTTATGACTAAAATCGAGAAAAAACTGACCAAAGATTATTGCAAATTTGACACTAACTCCACGTTTATTGATTACATATTACCCCTAAATAGCAGATAAAACATTTAGAAGTATGTAATATTGGTGAACTGGTACATTCTTCTTATATAAATTAAGCATTCTTCCCTCTTTTGTGCACTACTACCAATTTTTACATAAAAATATCTATTTTTGCACTTAAATATTTATTTTAAGATAACCTATCCAGAATTATATGTAGTACACAGATAAAACCATAAATAAAATAATAAAGAAGCTGTATACAAGATATCGTAAAACAATGGATTAACTAAAAGTTCTTATTAATCGTATTCTTAAATAAAACATATAAAGACATATTCATGTTAACAAAATACATTAGGAAATATTCGCATATGAAAAAACACGTCCAACTTGGTAATGAAATCCTTTTGTATTTATAAAGCTATTTTTAGAATAGCAGGTACCTACCAAAAACAAGTATTTGGTATTATACATATCTATTACATATTGTCAATATGATCGCCAACATTCATAACGGATAGGCACATCAAGAAGAAGAAGAAGATTACATATTGTAATGCGTATGAAAAGGAGTCCGTATGAACCGTTTAAAATATATAAAATGTATATATCAAGAACGCTTGCTTAATTGCATAGTTGCCAAACTATCAGAGCTTACTTAAACCGATATACTTATGGTTCCAATATACAGTGAAAAAGATCTGAACGACCCCTATAATATATACACGTGAACTAAGCGAAATACATTTATGATACAGGGGTACTTATGAGCTCCAAAATTTTTTTAAGAATTATGAAACTATACATCTTAACGAATCGACAGAGCCAATATTATGGAATGGACAAGTGAGCTCCGTATATCGGTGTCCACTTGACCACGGAGCTCACTTGAACCTGAATTTTAACATGGGCGGAGTTCACTTTATGCCGTAAATATATATATATATATATATATATATATATATAGATATACAATTTATTTAGTTTGTAAATTATTTTAATTTTTAGAAAATTTTCATTTTGCTTTGTATCATTGTAAAGACAGTGCAACCAAGTACTCCTGACCACGGCGCAGTAAACGAAATTTTGTTTTTGCCCCCACTTCCATGCGGAACGCATTGTACTACGCACTGTATAATTCCACTTGCAATAGAACCTTTGTGTTTGAACTATCTTTACAGTTTTCCGTTAGCACGCCTCTGTGTTTCCCCTAGACGAAGGATGGCGGTTCCATCCGGGAAGAAGGAGTGGTTTGGTGCTCGTGTGTCGACTTAAGTGAGGCTAGGGGGACAGTTCGACTTAAGAACTCATATTGTCATGTGATTGCAACAACAAATGGTGCATTTTTGACCATCTACGTTAAATCTGTACAAAAGGCGCCAAAATGAATCTGAAAAGCAATAAGATATATCATATTGTATCGAACTTACCTAATTCTACTTCCCTAACGGCCTTATTAAAAACCCTTAGTATCTCCGCAACTTCGACGGAAGGCACAACTCGTCCTCTCGTTCCCCTGTGTTTGCCCTCTTCGCACATCATAAACGAGAATAGTTCCGTAAAACTGAATAGACTACTCTGTGTCATTGGATTTAGCCTTTCCAACATGGACTGCTGCATATCCAAAGCGTAATTCCATAGTTCGATACATCTGTTGAACTTACCTGCATCTGCGTATACTGCACCCCTGCAAAAAAGATAGATGTGAACTTTTATTTAAAGCCCTGACCCATGTTTCCATATTGTTCTGTCTACAAGTTTTAAGCCTACTATTATCTTATGAGAGTCACACAGAGAAGAATGGAGCGATCCATGTTAAGAATAACTCTGCGAGACAAAATAAAAAACGACTGAATCAGGAGAAAAACGAAGGTGACTGACGTCATCAAAATAATGACTGACTAAAATGGAGGTCATGGAGACCATGGGAAGACAAGAGAAGCGGTTGATCACCTACACGATGGGCTAACGAGTTAAGAAAGCTAAATAATAACTGGATGAGAGCGGAACACGATAGATGGGGTTGAAAACACGAAGAAGAGGACTGTAGATAGATAGATTTAGAGAGGTGGCCTTTTTGCCTATTCCACTGCGACCTTTTCATATCTATGATGGTCCTCTAGTCCTAGATAACATTCTCTAGCCTGACCCCTTTTAAAAAGTCTAATAGCTTCGAGACTGTACCTCCCATGTAGCTATTTGCCGGTGGATTTTCTCTTCTTCTCCAGAACGAAGAAGAACCTCATAGTTGAAGAACTTGCGAGATTGGTATGGTGTTGATACAAGCATGCTATTTAGGGTGGCAGTGAATAAAATTAAGATAGCTATGATGGCAACCAACGTTCTGAAAGGACATGGTATATGAAGAAGAAATGTACCAGGTAGCAGCAGCTTGTATGGACACACCTTCATTACAGTCTTCCCTGCCTGGTCTCTTAATTATAAACTTATTGTTCAAGCTATATTTCGTAGCTGTTGCATCGATAGGTTGCCCCATCACAATATCGGCTATTAGCTCCTAGATTAGCTTTCTGTTGTCAGCAACATGAATCTGGCTTATGCTTATGTCGCTGACTATGGATTATGCGCTGTGCTGTGTGTAAAGGTATAAAGAAGAGGACTGTGTTCAGCAATGGATTCGTTAGGCTTGATGATGATGATGATTATCTTACGAAGCAGAGAGAAAAATATTATAGCATTGTTAAAGAAGCACAAATTTTTAACCAGAAATTACAGAGAAAATGGTACAAAACATTGATTTCTGAGATACACTTGATGAATCAATGTCATCCACATCTAGCAGCTTAAAACTGCCACATATAGGATACTTACCTATAACGAATATAATAACTGGTATCAGGATGGGCAGGTCCCAATATTCTTTCCCTCATGACCAATGCTTGCATTCTCATTTGGTCGGGATCGGCAAGCAGGTCATCGAGGCTGTCAATATCGTTTACTTCTTGGACGTTATCGTATGCAGGTACTTTTTGGGATGGTGGTTTTGCAATCGGATGTTTGGGATCATAAAAGTACCTGAAAGTTATAATTCGTAAATATAAATCAAAAATATTAGTTATATTTCTTAAATAAAAAATATTAAAGACTACATTATTATCAGCGTTTTGCTTTTTCCGTTTATTTTATGGTTTTTATTCAAAATGCTTATTCTACAAACGTTTTGTTTATATTACGAAACTAGTTAAATTCTTTTTAGCGGAAGTACAATTTAAAGTAGAAATTGAGATCTTTTTCTGCTTTTCTCCTGTGGATTGTTAGGAATAATGAAAAAATATAAAATATAAGTATTAGTTATCAAATGAACTTTCTTACTAATGCGTATTAATTAAAAAATACAGTGCTAGCCAAAATTCTCCCCCACCTCGTATCTTTTGACCGGTTATACTTGAGGAGTCAGGGGAGAAAACAATAATAATCCTCTTTTGGTGGAAATTGAAATGACGAAGTTATCTAGTGATGAATACATAATATTACTTTCTGATGGTACGGAGTAAAAGGGAAAAACATTTACAGTCCTTTTATTACAAATGTTAAATGAAAGGGTGTACTCTGGAAGAACCATCATAGTTCGCGCGCTGTGAGGAAATAACCGTCGAAGGCGCCCCCTCTTTGCCTCAACAGGTCGAGTCGGGTGCAGCATTTCTGTGATACTCTTGCTTAGTTTAGCTACTTCGTTAATGTGTTCTATTTTTCCAGTTGATTCTATTTGAACAATAGTAAAGTAGTGAGTATGGAAATGGGCTGGACACAACGAACGTCTCGAAGATGGTAGATGGAACAAAGAAGTCGGAAACTGGCGACCGTACGATGCGAAGAGACCAAGAGGAAGACCTCAAATGCGCTGGAGCGACGATATCAAAAGAGTCGCAGGACCAATGTGGAAACGCCTAGCACACAACAGGCATGAATGGCGAGAAATGGGAGAGGCCTTTATTCGACAATTCGGATAGAAAAAGGGCTATATAAAAAAAGTAGTGAGTACATACTGATTAAAATGGAGAGTAGTTGTAGTAATGTAGATTTGGGGACTGTTGCTAAAAAAAAAGAAGAAAAACAGGCCGTGTTCGTGACATTATGAAACTTCTCAGAGCCACCACTCATGAGGTAGGGACAGATTGCAAGTGCCACCATTTTCGTTGTTTTGGGAACGTCAATGAAGACGAAAGGCGACGCATTTTGGCTCAATTCAATGAACTTGCTAACTACGACTATCGGAATCGGTATTTAGGTGGTCCGATAACCCTTCTCACAAGTATGCGTCAACGAATCGATTGGGTACAGGGGCAACTAATCTTGCTTCTTATTCCTATTATGTTAGGGGTGGACTTTCGTGATGTGTAAAAATGTTTCAAAGCATTCTTATCCATTCATAGAATTTCTGCTTTCCGAGTGCAAAGAATTCGAGAATCACTGACCTTAACTGGCACTGTATCATTAGACGCTAGAGGAAAACACGGAAATAGGCCCTATAAAATTTCTGAAGATGCTATCGTCAAAATGACAGAATTTATTGGTTCCTTGAAAGGAAGAAAATCGCATTACTCCCGGAAAAAAAGTGAAAAAACTTAAATCCCTGAAGAACTCAACATAACTAAGTTACATACTACGTTCTTAGAAAAAAATCCCGATAATAAATTATCGTACAAGTTTCGCAAAATTTTTGAAGCAAAGTTTAATACTGCATTCAGTTTTTCTAGGAAAGATAGTTGTAGTTTCTGTGACACTATAAAAGCGGAAATATCTGCCCTTTCGCAGAAATTAGATGCCAGCAGTGATGAATATAATCCCAAATCTTGGAGAAATTACAAGAAAAAATCTTTTCTACCTCTGAAAAAGATTCTAGCTACCTGTTTTCTATACTTATGACGAGCCGGTAGCAAAAAAGGGGGCTGACGATGTGTGTTCAATGATTCATCACTCTGTGTATAACGTACGGTCATCTCAGGTTCAAAATTTGATAATATTTTGCGACTCTTGTGGAAGCAAAATAAAAATTACACAGTTTTTCAGTTCCTTCATTATCTAGTTCAGATAGAAAAACATTATGAGTTTGTGAAAGTAATTTTTTACATCAGAGGACATTCCTATCTAGAGTGCGACCGCGACATGAGTTTAATTAATGACAACGCTTATACGGGAACTCGGGATGAGTGGAGGAAAGTCCTCCGCAACAGCAGAGTGAAACCGAAACCGTTCCAAGTGGTGGACTGTGGGAGAGATATTAAAGTTCTGAATGGGACTAAGCATTTCTCCAACAAGAAATGCCCAATGCCTACGAAACTTATTTGAGTGTTGGAAATCAGGAAAAATAGCCCTCAATTTATCTTTCACAAAAATAGGTACCTATTCCGGGTTAGTTGTAAGCTCGGTGTTTGAATGCAAAGTTAAACGAAACCCGAAAAGAAATTTAAGGAAAGCTCATAATATCACAATTCTAAGATCTTCTCCACTTGACCAAATATTTGGAAAACGTTAAACTCTAGAAAGTTCTACACTGATTTAGAAGGCACTGAACAGGAGGGAAGTTCGGAGGAAGAAACATTTTGTGACGCAGAAGCTTGAAGGTACTGGGGCAGAACGTTCATGATCCATGCCGGCACACTCAAGTTTTTGTATGATGTTTCGCAAATAAAATATTTTTTTGTCTTCTCTTGAATTTCCCTCTGTAAACTTGTCAACGTACCACTGAAAAATTTACCGATTTATACGGTTGAGTTAAAACAATTTGTTTTAATTTGAAACAATAAATTTCCATGAAAACTGTTTTTCTGGACTCAGATTGTTTTTCCCCCTGACTCCTCGCTTATAATAGTGCCACAGTATGGAATCTCTTTATACATACTGTGATAGTGCTTCTCAACTAGTCATAACAGGTGACTTAATAGTGATTTATGACGTTACAAAGCCACTGTGACCGATAATTTTAAATGGGATTTTACGAAAAGTGATCTCTCGTTTGAAAGGTATTTAAAATATCTAAATACACCTAAATCATACGAATTTTGTTTGGGTTTAACACGTTCCTTGCCGATAACACGCTGGCGCGTCGCTACAAGACTTTATTAGCTAGACGCCGACGACGCCCTCTCGCTTCAGACTTTTATTGATTATGATCTTGGATTATTACACTGGCGCTATAACAGGGCCTTTTATATTTCGAAGGCAGGTAACTAGGGGTATCAATTCTCTAATTTTGTTCTTGGATCTCCGACTAACGACTTTTTGTCTCGACAAGGTGTCTATATCTTTTGGCTTTGTAATAATTCTAAATATTAGTATTTAAAAAAATATTAGTATTTAGAGTAAAACATGATAAACTTATAAACATCTTGAAAGAAGTGGGGTTAGATGATAGGGACTTGAGAATCATCTATAATTTATATTACAACCAAACAGCCAATATTAAAGTGGATGACCGATTGACAGAGGCAGTCTCCATAGATAGAGGAGTTAGGCAAGGATGCATTCTGTCCCCGGTCTTATTTAATATATATTCTGAATACATCTTCGAGCAAGCGCTGGGAGAATTACAAGAAGGCGTATTAGTTAACGGAATGCGTCTAAACTACATTAGATATGCCGACGACGCAGTAGTTTTTGCAGATAGTCTGGACGGTTTGCAAAGAATAATGTCGCGTATATCAGATATAAGTAGGGAACATGGACTTGATCTTAATACGAAGAAAACAAAGTACATGGTAGTCACTAAGCGCGAAATATTAAATACACAGCTTTTGGTTAACCAACATCCAATTGACAGAGTGGAAAGCTACACATACCTTGGTGCCAACATTAACAGCCAATGGGATCACTCCAGTGAAATAAAACAACGCATAGGAAAAGTGAGATCAGCGTTCATAATGATGAAGTCTCTTTTCAGAAGTCACGATTTACCACTTGCTACCTAAATCTCTTTTATTAGATGCTATGTATTCTCTACTTTATTATACGGAGTAGAGACAGTTTCCGAAGCTTCCTTAAGAAAACTCGAGACATTCAAGATGTGGTGTTACAGACGTATCTTAAGAATTTCATGGGTGGATCGTGCGACTAATATTGAGGTCCTACGTAGAATAGGCAAGGAATGCGAGATTATTAACACCATCAAAGAGCGCAAACTAGAATATCTTGGCCATGTTATGAGGAATAATCAGAGATACGGCTTGTTGCAACTCATTCTTCAGGGCAAGGTATTTGGAAAGAGTGGACCAGGGAGAAGAAGAATATCTTGGCTTCAAAACCTGAGAAAGTGGTTTAATACATCGACCACCGGACTATTCAGAATAGGAGCAAGCAAAGTTAGGATAGCCATGTTGATCGCCAACATTCGGAACGGATAGGCACCGTAAGAAGAAGAAGAAGAAGTAAGAGTGCATAAAATTCTGCAAATGCATATTATTTTATCAGATTAGTAACCGTGTAAATATTAGTAATTCCCAGATTTCAATATTTCTTCTATTTTTTAGACACGTGAATCATAAAGCTTGTTAATACTCGGATATTTTAAGTGTTTCCCCTAAAACGATTTGGGTTCTTTTACATCCCGTTTGGTTAGTTTATACTTGAATGGCATAGGGTGTGCATATTGAAGTGTAAAAATGAATAAAAATAATATAAATGACGATATTTTATTAAGTGGCTGAAATTCAAATAAAAAATAAAGTTCAAATAAAAAATTATTAGATGAAGAACTGCTGAAATTATTGGAAGCAGATGATGAAGAATTTAATGACTTTCTTTATTCAGACAGTGTGTATTTACCAGAATCTGAGGATAAAATTGAAAATAACTTAACCTGCAGCTCTTATTGAGGATACGGAAGATAATGTATGTTATAAAATTAGATGCAAATAGTAATTTTTTAATAAAAATATATTTAATTGTAGACTAAGCTGCTCGTTGAAGTTCAAGGAAGCGATGAATGGGAAGAAAATTTTGATGCTACAAAATGTTTCCCTTATTTAAAACACCAGGAGTAACTAATACACATTTCCCGATAATAATCCAGTTCACTTTTTTCGAATGCTACTTACAGATGAATGTTTGCAGCAAATATGTGATTCGATTAACAACTACCCTGAGCCATTCTAGAATTTTCGATTGGAAAATTTTGACTCCCAAAGAACTGCTAGTCTTTTTAGGATTGGTTTTACATATGGATCATATTTCATTGCCTAGGATTGAATATTATTGGAAAAAGAAAGATACTCTTTTCGCTAATGCAATGGCCATACAGTAAAACCTCCCTTAGCCGAAACACTTTTAACCGAAACATCGTTTAACCGAAACGGCTAAGAGTTTCAATAATTTCGTCAATAAAAAGTAAATTTTTATCGCAATTCTATTAATCTTTCTACCGATTGATGCTTATGTGTGTTGGGAAATCAAAAAAACCAAGAGCTCTACAAGATATTTCAAAAAAAGCACTTCCAGTTTTTTATAGAAGCCAAAAAAGCTCATGGATGTCGACCACTTTATTTTCAGAATGGTTCGAAAATGAATTCGTCCCAAGTGTAAAATCCTTTTTAAAATTAAAAAAACCTTCCCATCAAGCCTAAATCACCCTCAAAATCTACAAAATAGTGACAATTGTCAGATTTTTGCCAGCGAATGTCAAGAGCTTAATTCGGCCGTTAGACCAGGGAGTAATAGAGACATTCAAGGGACCTTATAAAGGAGCATTCTTAAGACATCTGTTATTACTAAAGACGAATGAATCCAAAAGTATTCCCGAAATTCTCAAATCTTTAACAATGAAACATGTTGTTTATTGGTGTGCTGAGTTGTGGGCCAAGATCAAATCTTCAACTCTAGAAAAATGCTGGAACAAACTTTTTGATGGTATTTCGATTGACGATCCCATGCCGATGACTCAGAAAGTCTACTTATCCACCAGGACATCATTGATATGGTTCTTCATCCAGACAACCTGAGCGTATTAGACGACAAATATGATTACCCAACAGACAACAGGCAGCACGAGACTGCCAACAAGATTTTAAATGACTAGAGGTAAGAATTTTATACAGTAGGCCTGATTAGTTAGGGACACGACTAGGTTCTTAATTTTTGTTGTCATTGCATGAAGTTTTGTCCTTTTCAGATTGCTTTACGTTTCGTCGAATAATCGAATAAGGCAAACTCATGACTTTCTGCAAATAAACGATGGAGATATATAGCTGCAAAACATCGTTGTCAAATGAAAACTCAAAAGAAAATAGAAGATTTCTTTAAAAAAGAATGTTAAACTTGTTCATTTTCCTTAATTTTATTACTTTATTTTGTATTTACTTATTAGAAAACATTACGAAATCACCTCATAGTATTTTTTAATACCAATACTTTGACCAAGAATGTTATAAAAAACAATGTTATTTTAACCGAAATTCTTGTTATCCGAAATGGCCTACCCCCCAATTATTTCGGTTAACGGAGGTTTTACTGTACTGCATTGTTTGCATTTTAGTAAAAATCCAGAAGAGCGAGAACAAGTACCTGAAGACAGAATGTATAAAATTAGATCGATGATAGGATATGTCGAAATTTTGTGGAAAAGTCTATGAACTTTTCTTGATAAGTTATATATAGATATATAGATATATCAAGTTATGAACGTAAAATCAACATAATGTTTATCTAAAAACAGTAGATGTGTGACAGTGTGAAAAAAGTAAGGATTTAATTCTGAAAGATACTACTATATAAATGTTATTAGCAATACTACCAATTCGTCTACTGGAAAATACGTACAGATAACGATCTATATTCTAATGATATAGTATGTTATGGATAGAATGAACATTTATCTATTCAATAAAACAATTTATCAGGTGGTTTATTACCAGATATAATATTTGTTCGGTTTTCTACGCAATATAAATATAACCTTTTAACATTTATTTATTTATTACGAGTAAATTCACTGTTCTTGAAAACTTTGTAGCTTTGATTAATAAAGCATTAATGAGTTCACTAATCTAAAAAACGGTTCATCAATTAAAAATCGAGTACGTTTTTATATTTATACTGCACTTAAATATCAATTAATATGCGGAATATTTTGGAAACATTATCGCGATATAACGTAAACAAAAACATCAGGAAATTCAAGAAATTTTGGATATCACATTCTACGAAGTACACTGATGATAATTAGCATTCATCAGCATATCTGTAAAGGAAAACAAAATAGACTAACCAAAAATACCATTTTTGTAGACTTTTGGTGGAAGATTATGGTGTTTTGAAGTATATTATTGACCTGTGTCTAAAATGGAAGGGTTAAGTGAATTACGTAATCCACAAGGAATCTACGTTCCTGTAGTTGGCTGTATACCATGTATTAAAAATTTAATTAAAAATCCTTTGTAATAGGTATTAACTAATAATACTGTAATAGGTAATAACTATATAGAGTAGCAACTATATAGACTGTATAGAGTTGCACTCATACAGTCCTCGAAGACATACCGTCTCAGGACTGGCAACTTCAACGTGGAGTCATATGTCGCCATGTTACCTAATCCATCGGTAACTCTATAATCCTATATCATTACAACATTATTTTAAAACTAAATGTAATTAAACATATGTAATCGGGTTTTTACCCACATATTTAATCTTGGTGGCTACATTCATGTACTCCTAGACACTGATGATGGAACATGGTTTCCGAAAACGTTTTGTCTTTTTAACTTAGCCCGTTTGGGCCTAAAATATACCTATTACAAAGGATTTTTAATTAAATTTTTGAATTACGTAAGCCTTTTAGTTGCCGATAAATCTAAATTGACATAAAATATAGCACATACACAGTAAAAACAAGATAATTAGAATATCTCGGACATATTAAACGTGAAGAGAAATACACCCTGCTCCAATTGATTATGCAGGGAAAGATACAAAGAAAGAGAAGCATAAGGAGGCGTAGAATGTCATGGCTGCGCAACTTGAGAGAGTGGTACGAATAGCTATGATGATTGCCGACCTCCGCCGCGGAGATGGCACTTGAAGAAGAAGATAGCACATAAAAGCAATATAACCAATATAGAAAGAAAATAATAACAAATGTTGAATTACTTACCTTTCATGTAAAGCTATTCTCCATAATTCTAAAGCACCTATCATATCACGTTTCTTATCCACACAAGTTGCACCTAACAGTTCTATAGCGTCGATACGTTCTTTTCTAGATACTAGATCAGGAATCTTAATTAAATATTCTACTATATGATTATGTCCCGTCACTGCGGCGGCCATCAATGGTGTCATTCCTAAAAGAAAAAAAGGTTACAATTTGCAAAACAATTCCAAAAAGTTAAGTTTAAAACCGACGTGAGGCGTTGTTTTCCGAAGAAATACTTTCTCAAGGATAACTAACAAAAGGGTGGTAACTATACTTAGGGTGGAATCTACAGGACTCCATAGGATAACGTTGTAGAAACATGTAACAAATACGGCCTAAAACTAAATTGCAAGAAGACAAAAATAATGATCATTAGTAAGAACACCAACATAAATGCCCAAATTACAATAGGCGGTACACCGTTAGAAAGAGTGGAAAATATATGCTATTTTCGTTGCAATACATATTAAGGATACTTGGGATCACAGCTACGAAATAAAAACTCTTATTGAAAAAGCCAGAAGCTCTTTCAACAGCCTTAGGAAGATTATCTACAACTTATCTTTAAGTATCAATATATGTTACGCCTTTAGTGTCCTCCTCTATAGTGTAGAAAGCTGGAGTCTTACAGAAGATGCCATAACACGATTAGAGGCATTTGAAATGTGGTACTACCGACGTATGTTAAGGGTCTCATATATACATATATCACATAAGCAACATAACTATTCTCCAGAGGCCAAGAAAAGACAAAGTAATTATTAACACCGTAAAGAACAGAAAATTGGCTTACTTCGGCCACATCATGCGTAATCAATGTGGTCGCCAACATCTCTAGAAGACAGGCAGATTTAGAAGAAGAAGGAATCTCTACACTAAGGGTGCACTCTAAATTTGAAATCTGGCTTTGGTTACTGATGTTACAAAGACAGAGGAAAACATTGGGAACAAAAGTATGTTACTTTTAATAGTCTCACGAATATTTTATTGCAAGACCTTTATTTGTCCAGTCACTTCACAATCTTCTTATAATAGCTCGAGCTCGAGACGAGCTCTATCCAAACATTTTTAATAGCGTTCCATAAATTACCTCAGTTTCCCAAGCTTAAAGTGTCTTTGACATATCTGTTTGACTGTAAAGCCTTATAACGAATGTAACAAGAGAAAAAACGAAGCTAGAGAAAAATGATTATCCCATTAACTAGAACAATGTAGCATTTTAGCTTTGTAGCAGAGCTTTGTAGCATTGTAGTTGAGATTGGAAATGTCATGTAATGTTAAACATTTTACCTGTTTGTCTGTATCTCAGGAAATAAATAAGAATCTATGCGCTTATGTTTATAACGATTTAAGAGGATGAAGTCACTTGTCGATGAACCCGCCGCGAGAGTAGCCGTGTTCATTGTGGAAGTCCGAATTTGGTCATCGGGACTTCGATGTTGGCAGCCGTAAGGAGCAATTCAAGGTGTGTGCATATAAACATTGTTTTCGTGAAGTTTTGGAAAAACCGGCAAAGTTTTCACTTAATTCCATGTGTGTGTGTGTGAAGAAAGAGATTTGAGTTCAAAATGCCATGTGGCACTCTTTGTAAAGTGAGTTAATCATCGTTTTGTTGTAAGCTGTATCCTGTGTCAAGGGATTTGATAAAAGCGTCCTGAGGGCTAAGTGGTTTTCAGTGGAAAATAAGCAGCCAAGTTTGAAAAATCACATTGTTATCATTCAGAATAACCTTAAGTCCAGTTTTGGTGTGATTTAATTTTTCATAGGATTTGTCCAACCCCCATCCAATTTGTGTCTTCCAAAGGTCTGATTTTGATTTGCTCCCTTGTCAATTTAAAAAGTTTATAAATAAATATGTTTTATGTATCAGCTAATTGTCATATTTTAGTTTCTTTTAAATAAAATTAATCTTTGATAATTAATTATAATAATTCGGAAAAGTTGGGTAGTTTCATTTCGACATGACAGTTAGTGCATCTTTTTCTGCCATTTGGTACATAACCATAGTTTTAAATTTTATTTTTGTTGTTAAAAGGTTCAATGTCATCTTTTTTGATAAATATAGATATTTTCGTAATAACTGTTTATATACAATAAAAATAAATACGTAATTTTTCTCTTTAAAATACGAGTTAAAAAAAAATAAGAATATTCATCCTTAAACATTTTTAGGAAAGAAAAACCCTAAAACTTTCTTTCTATACAGCAAGAGGATTTTTTTAAACTGCGTCCTAATTTTAAATAGCCTAGAAATCTGCTTCTTTAGTGTTTCCCAGAAAATCTCTGTAAGTCTTTTGTTGATTTCTGTTTAGTAGTTAGTTTTTCCAGTCCCCCCCCCCCCAAAAAAATATTCCTTATACAAGACCTTGTTTTCCAACCAAAACACGAGTAGCAAACGTTTTAATTTTTTTGAATACCCATCTCCAAGCCCAGTATTTGTTCAGTTCCCCGTTTCAACCCCCTATAAGCAAAATAGAATTGTTACAACAACTGTAGAGAATTAACAAACAAAGAGAAGAAAAGAGGATACTTAAATATATAAAAAACTAATATATAGAAAGAATTCAGAATATTCTAGGTTTAGTGCGAGGTGAAGGATCCTCTGCGTAGAATCCATCTTCGGGTATATTTTTGTTATTCTTACATTAATTAAAATGAAATATAGTTTTAAGTAAAACAAAGTCTCAGCCAAGAGTGTCGGGTGTAGCTAGAAAGGGAGTAGAGCGCCCACTGAATAAAGACAACTCTGTGGGAGTCGAACAAGACTGTCTGGCGCCGAGCACGAGTGCATAGATGAATATATGTGTATATATCATTCATATATGTGCTCGTGCTTCGCCAGACAAGTCACCGGGGGCCTTAGCCGTGTATTAATACGCTCAAAACATCTTCGATTTTTTTTATTGGTCGACTGATCTGAAAATGCCATATAGAAACATATAAATATGGGACATTTTCAACTCTCGGCCAGTCTGGTCTCTGTGAGATTCTGTGGCTGAACCTTGTCCACCTTCTAAACTGTTTTTCATTTATTTTCCATGTGAGAAAGATTGATTATCCACCAAAGATGGAATATACGCAGAGGGCACTTGGAATAGACAGATCGAAGTCCCTCCGTAAGGCACCTTGGGAATGGATAAGTAGACGTAATTTTTCAGGCCTTTCCTTCTCATTTGGTGATAGATAGTCTATCGGGTGATCCATCGTCGGACGGAATATAGAATGTGTTTGAATTAGGATTTATTTGCCTGTGAACAGAGCATAGTTGACAGTTCAGTGGCCGGATTGCTTTTTTTTGGCTTTTTTTAGTAGTTAATCTGAAGTATTAGTCACATTGCTATTGCAGACCAGCTATATGGCAGCCAAAGTTGTCTGGCTATTGCAGACCAAGACTGATGTGAATGCTATTTCGAGTAGGGACATACTATTCCCGGATAGTTAAATCTATATTCATCAGCATACTTCAAAGTTCACTGAAGATGGACTAGTAAGTCCGGAAACGTTCGTTCTGAACAATAAATCAACTATTGTAATCCATTTGGATTTTTGATTTAAAAATTTTTCATTAAATATATACAAATTACAACAGAATTTTTCACTTCGAAGTTAAAGTTTTTTAACTACTATGCAATACAGCCAACTCCCGACAACTATCCCACTTTCAACAAATAAATATTACACTAAAAATCTATTTTAAACGGATTCTGAGTAAGTCTAATATTTATTTCTACAACCCAATTTAAAACAGTATTTATAAATTGTTTTATATACAATAATGTTTTGACTTACCATAAGAATCTACGTCCATTTTCGCCCCGTGTTCAAGTAACAATTTTAAAATTTCCAGACTTCCGGATTCGGCACAATCGTGCAACGCTGTATTTCCCTTAACACTTTTTCTATTAACACTGGCATTTAGACTAAGTAAATATTTGGCTATGTTGATATGGCCCTTATAGCAAGCTATCATCAAGCAGGTGTGACCATGCCTAAATACAAAAAACAAATGAAATACAAATTTTTTGAGTGGAATATATAGAAAATAATTTGTAGAGTAGGTATGTATTTTTTATTTGTGCAAATTGAGAAATATGTACAAAGTTACCACAATGTCTTACTCATAAAAAAGATAACTCGTACGTATACATATTCTTAAATTATAATGCAAACCACAACGTTAATATGAAATGTATTACTAAAAAATTATAATAAGTACGACTGAGTCAAAATTCTTTGTTCTAATTAAAGTCATTTATCCATTATAATTTACAGGTATTTACAAATATATACAGGTATATTAAAATATTGTTAGAGGTAATAAAATTGATAGTCTTACTGATTAATGGCTATGGAACTTGGAGAAAAAAGTGAGATCAAGTACAAAAAGCAAATAGAGTAGCAGAATGCTTTAACACTTTCGCTGCGAAAGCCACCATGTGACGTCTGTCTTTTTTTACTATATGCGGACGGCGCCATTTGGCGTTATCTGCATATTGCATATATGTTTTAGTCCAGCAAATAAAAAATGAAATGAGCCATGAGCATTATCAAGTCTTACACGTTTATCGTATCATTCAGCTCTCGCTATGACTTTTACCAAGAAGCGTGACAGTAGTGTAGAAAGAATGCGTAAATAGTCAGTATACAGAGTGTTTCAAAAAGGTATGTCATAAATTAAATCATGCATTCCAGGGACAAAAATAAATTTATTGAATCTAACTTACCTTAGTACAAAAGTGTACACAAAAAAAGTTACAGCCCTTTGAAGTTACAAAATAAAAATTGTTTTTTTTGCATTATCTCCTAAACTATTTGACATTTTGTAATAAAAATGGACACGTTAATTTCATGTTCTGAAAGCATTTTTCATAAAAAAGAAACAACAAAATATAACCCCACAGAAAAAATTTAAGGATGGTGTGCAGCCTTAAATCCCCCCAAACTTTTGAGTACGTTCAAATCAAATGAATTTTGTGACATAATTAGTTTAACACATTATTTTTAAAATTTTTTTTGTTTTTAAATTAACCTTTAAAAAATTACATGCAACTAAATAAATGGCTTAAATGAATTAACAAGTACAAAAAGTCTCTATAACCTCACAACTATGATACACGATGCCTCATAGATAATCCCAGTTGTTTAGAGTAGAATTCACATTCTTAAATGTATCAAAAATAGTTAAATTACAATTTAATAAGAGAAAAACAGTTAAGATTTTATTTCAAGTATATTGCCACTGTATATTCGCTTAAACGTATTTCATCCTAACAGGATTCATCAGAGCGAGTGTTACAGAAGCTCTGAACGTGAAAACTCATCTTTTCCGTTGAAAAGAAGCAACAATAAAATGACTGCAGTATGGACGCTATAGCGACATCTGATAATAAATTGCGAAAGTAGAAATCCGACGATTTCTATTGACGAAACCAAAATTCAGATTTTTGCTTCTTTAGCAGAAATTTCTACTTTCGAGATTTATTATCAGATGTCGCTATAGCGCCCATTCTGAAGTAATTTTATTGCTGCTTCTTTCGACGGAAAATATTTGTTTTAAAACTTCAGAGCTTTAGTAACAGTCGCTCTGATCGGTCCTGGTAGGATGACATACGTATAAGCGAATATACAGAGGTACTATATGTGAAATTGATACGTTGTGTTGATATAGATATGTTGTGGAATGCAATTTTAGATTCCCCATTTCTCTCTTTAGATCTTAAGCATCGTCTGTTTTGCCTTGCACATTTATAGAAGGCACAAATTAAAGATAAATAGGAAGACTAAGATGGGCAGGACATCTAGCAAGATCACAGCAGAACAACCCTCCTAGAAGAATCCTTATGTCACAACCCGTGGGAAGTAGAAAAAAGGGTAGGCCAAAACTCAGATGGAAGGATGGTGTAGATGAGGATGGTAGAAAGACAGGCGCAGCAAACTGGCAACGGTTGGCAATGGATAGGACTGCCGGCGTAATAGACTTGGGAAGGTCGAGGCTCTTTCATAGGGCTGTAGCACCATTGATGATGATGATTAAAGCAAAAATCTGAATTTTGGTTTCAATAGAAATCTTCGGACTTCTACTTTCGCTATTTACAATTTAATACTTGGGAGACACCAATACGAATAGATGAATTGGAAAAATTTGTTCAAACCAAAATAAAACCAATTATTGCGAGAAAAATATTATAATTAAGATAAAAGAAAAATTAAAAGGACTCAACCATAAATGACAAAATAAAATTTTCGACTTCCAGATGCCATTATTTGTAATAGAATTATCAGAGGATTTTTTTATTACGATTGAATGCGATGTAATATACGACAATATGATATCATTACTTGCTAGACAGGTATTCACTTATTCCAGTTGATCTCTAGTAATCGAATAAACTGTTTTCAAATAAAGTCATCATAGGAACGCACAAAAATATTGACACTACCAAGAATTATTATTATATTTTCAACATAACAAAACGAGATAATTTGTCCAATTAAATAATTAACTTGTGGTTTATTCTTAACGACACACTTGATACAAAATGAGATTCTACAACTAAAGAGATTCAAGGTCTTCGATCACAGTGTGGATTAATATACAGAAATCATTGGTGATAACATAAGTAGAATTGAGTATTTTTTGACGAGGTTAAATGGACAGACGTAATGTTTGATCAAATGATTCATCCACAAATATGAAAATATTTACCTATTAGCTACTTCTATGTCGGCTCCATGCTGAACTAGGTACAGAACGATATCCATGTGGCCGTCGAAGCAAGCAGCCCTAAGGGGGGTGGAGTTGGTACGTGTAGTGGTGTTGACTTTGGCCCCGTACCTAATTAGCAATACTACGATGTCGAGATGACCAGCTGCCGCCGCGCACCATAGTGGCGGCGCGCCCTCTATGGTTTCGCCGTCGAACATTACTGAAAAAAGAAAAAACAGATCTATAACAATATAAACTTTAAATATTCAATATAAATGTATACCTCAATCAAAATTAATATTCGAGGACACAAATTCTGTATTGGATTATAAAAAGCAAACAACAAATCCTTAAAGATTGTTCAATGATAGTACAATTTGATTTTATTGTTTGCAGGTGTGCTACTTGTAGTATTTTAGTACTTTATTATTACTATCTTATTCTCTGATTTCTGTTCCTGTAATCTACTCTAAGGAGAGGACAATAAATAACAGTACGACAAAGATTTTAACAATAAACGGTTGTTATACAATGCTGCAAACAAAAGCGTTCATTCATATATTGTTGTTAACAATGAGCATAGAAAAATTGGTGTATTTTGTTAAATATGCAGATCGCTAGGTAATTATACACCCACGCGTTGCCTCAACTTGTAAAAAACATCTCTTAAACCAACCGCCGGTCTTGAGAGAGATGAGTTTCATCTACCAAGCGATACAGTCGTATCTTAGTTAGGGATAGCGGCCTGCTACTCCATGGCTGATGCTTTTGTGGTTGTTGTATGTCGAAGAAGACAGACATCGTTTTCGACAGCAGGTGCTATCATTCCATTGGGGTAAAGTACAACATACACTATTTACACTTTACTGGAAGACTAGGAAATGAAGCTGAAGTGACTATCAAAAGAAGAAAACTTAAGTACTTAGGCCATGTTATGAGAGGGAAAAGATACTTTTTATTGCAGCTTATAATGCACGGCAAAATTCGAGGAAAGCGAAATGTGGGAAGGCGAAGAATATCATGCCTTAAGAACTTGAGTGAATGGTTTGAATGCAGTAGTGCAGAACTATTTAGAGCGGCAGTCAACAGGGTCCGCATAGCCATGATGATTTCCCACCTTCGATATTAGATGGAACTTAAAGAAAGAAGAATATAATCTTCTGTATGTATGTTATTTGCTTATTCTATTTACTTGCTTTAAAAATATTTATTTATGGTCCTCTTGCTTTTAGTTTTTTATGACAATATACATACCCAAAGCGAAAGGGAGACATCAGCGAGGTCTAGATTGAACATAGACATTCTCCTACCTTTCTGATGGTCTTAATTGTTATATACAGGTCAACATATGTGCAGAAAGCTCAAGTACAGAAAAGGAGGTTACAAAAGTAACACAATCAATACTTTAAAGAATTAATGAAGAATAAAAGAAATATTGAAAATGAGGAACGGAAATTGGTTATGAATAAAGACAAGAATTGCAGAGCCTAAGAAAACAACCAAACAATAACTGAAAAAAAACAACAGAATACGAAGAGGAACATGAAGTCTATTACCGAGCGTTGTCAAAAAGGATAAGCTAACAGAAGTGGTAGAAAGGTAGAAGACGTAAATATTAGGCATAATTATTAGAGGAGATGTGATAGATTTTAAAGCAATATGTGGAAGACTGCCTCACATCAGAATAAAACAACAAGCAAACTAACTTAACATTGACTGAGATTGCAAAAGAAGAAGACAAAAACGAAATTTACGACAAGCTGGAATATATATACGAACAAATACTCAAAAATGTCAGAGACAAGAAAGAAAAAAATAAAGAGAAATCTAGCTGGCAAGGAAACGATTAGCAAATACTCAAAAATTACAGAAATCGAAAAAGCAAAAATAAACAGAGACAGGGAAACGATCCATAAACACAAATACTAGTGACAGATTGTTTCTGATAAAGTCCGCTAGATAGCAGGGGTAAGCACTCTAGCGGTAAAAACTCTATACCACCTTGGTATAATATGCAGGAGGCAGTCATTTCGTGCCAGTTGTATAGTAACAGTGAGTAAGTTTTAAGCTTCGAAACTGTGATGCCTGGTAGGTAGATTTTATTTTCTAATAATTTGTGTTAACACTACTACAGTATCGGATAGTCATGAATTGCCCAGTACCGGACACTAAATAATGTGTGGTAGCTCACTAATTCTTTTTTCTCTTTCCAGGTTCATTGAACACGATAAAGAAAGAGAAAAAAGGGGTGTTTCGTCAGAAGACTCGATGAAAATGGCAATCAAGCAAGTATTGGGAATGAAAATGACTATTAGACAAGCTTATTTTCATTTTTCTGCTCCAAAGAGCACGATGGCAGATAGAACCAAATAGCCAAGAGAAGGTGGGGACGTGGATATGAAACAACTTGACAAGCGTCATTTTAAGAAGACATTTCCTGAAGAGCTATAAACCAAATTAGTTGAGCATTTAATAGATTTAGACAAGATGATGCCTGTGAACAAAAAAGAGTTTTTAAGATTTACATTTGAGTTAGCTGAGCACTTAAAACTTCCGCATCAATTTAATAAAGAAAAAAAGATTGCAGAAGATAAGTTTTATTATGAATTTTTGAGCTGCCATGCCCAACTTTCGTTGTGAAAACCACAGTCAACAAGTATTCAAAGAGCTGTCGGTTTCAACAAACCACAAGTGGACCTCTTCTTCAACATATATGAAGCACTGCTATCAAAATGTAACTTTATTCAGTAGTTTCTGTAGAGTTGTCACAGAATGAAGGTCTAAACTCAGATTAGTACAATCACGTCGGGAGAGAGAGGAAGAAATGTAACTGTGCTATTATCTATCAACTTGACAGATGATGCATTTATTTTTACCTCCATTATTTGTATTTGGTAGGGTAAAATGACAGAAGAATTGAAGAAGGGTGCTCCGGAGGAGAGTATTTTTGCTTGTGAAAAAAGTGAGTGAACTGGGTGAAAAATTGAACTGCCAATTCAATTTTGCTTTGGCTAAAAATGTTTGTTGGTCGAGTGATTCCACTAAGAAAAATCCGGCTCTTTTGATACTTTATGGCCACACTACAAGTAACTATATATGCGAGAGACCACAATGTTCGCATGATAAGTCTACCCCCTCAAACTATCCACAAACTCAGCCTCAACCGAGCAATAATGGGACCCTTTAAGGCTGCGTACAATGAGGCTTGTGCAAAGTGGATGAAATATCCTACAAATAGCTTTCCAAGCTATTTGTAGGATGGAACTTACAAAGTCTGGATTTGCCTGTACTAGTTTGTACCCATTGCAGAAGATCATTTTTACAGATCTAGACATTCTAGACTATCTTGATGCAGCTCAATTTTCTGAAGACAATCAAGCTAATAGTGACACAATCTCGTGTACAACAACGCCGTCATCTGGACCACCATTGGCTGTAATAGCCATTTGATGCAGCTTTATCCACTTGTTCTGAAAAACTGCCTACTGCCAGCACTTCTAAATCCTGAGATGGATCCCAGACCCCCAAGCATTCCGTATTTCAAATTGTGACGGACAAAGTTTCACCTGTAATAAATGAGGCTAGAAAGAAAATTATTCACAGAGACGAAGTGAAAGGAGTAAGATTTTGACTGGATCCCCATATAAAACTATGTCGGAGAAAAGGTTTAAGAAATCACAAGAGAAGATTAAAAAGGCAGCAGAGAAAAAAGAAAAAATACCAGTCAGAAAAAACCAAACCAAACAGAAAAAAATAAAAGAAGAGTCTTGATCTGAATAGACAACTTTTCACGTCAACGATACCAATTAATGGAAGTTTAGAACTGAACACTACAGAAGAAGAAACTACTGAGTGTCTCATCTGCGAAGAAATTACAAATGAAGGTTGGGGACAGTGCATTACATGCAAGAGGTGGCCGTACGTAGCGTGCAAGGATCAAGAAAATCTACTTTTTTTTATTTTTGTTTTGTGTGAAAATTGCGCAACATTCATTTGTAACCAAATAAAATTTTAAAATATTTACATAACTCACAAAGTATTTAAAAAAATGTATTTCATTATGCTACTCATGCGATTAACGTGTTTTTAATGTGCCCGGTACTAGGCACGTGTTTCTGTAGCACAACAAAAAAGAATAAACTTTTTTATTTGTTAATTTGATAAATTTAACGACGGAATTTTGCGAATATTAATTTTTGTGTGAACAATAAACATGTTTAGTATTAAAATATTGCATTTTTATTTCTTATATTATGTGTTTAAAAAAATATTTCCAAAAAGCTTTAGGTGTTCGGTAGTGGACAAGTCTCCCCTATACAAAGTATGTATATTTGAAATGTAACTCTAAATATAATGAATTTTCTACTTTTTTAAAGCTATACACTTCGGACTGCAATAAACAGCATTCGAAATTTTAAAAACCGCTTACAACGAAGGAAAAATATCACAATATAAAATAATTACGATACAACCTTCTAAACAAGTTTATATCCTTACCAGATCCAGGCTGTTCTATATCGGCATGACATTTTTCTATAAGGTACTCAGCAACGTCATAGTGTCCATTCCGGCAAGCTATAACCAAGGGGGTAGCCCCTGAAGTCTTCGCCGCCACTAGCATGGACACCTCGTCTTTACCTTTGTTACAGTGTAGGTAGATCTGAAACAAATAATAAACTATTAGAAATTATAATAGTGCTTAGTCACATATAAATATTATTGTTATTAGCATTAAATAAACTACCATTTGTTTCCAGTTATCTTAAAAATTTATGACCAATGTAATTTTTTCCGATTGGAGCGATTGGTGTACGAGATAGGGTTACAGATCGGCGGTGTAAGTTTGCGGTTTACATACAAAAACCATTATTGTTCTAAGCTACTTTTTTCCTATTTCTCTCATCCATATATCATCGCGATTTCGTGAGAGGGAGATACTAATAATGGGTGAGATACTGATAGCTAGAAAGAGATGAGTGACAAAGTATTTGTGGCAAAGGCAAAAAGTATGTACAGAAGAGTCTTTGCATTAAAAAAAAACACTTCTGATACACAATTTATTATTTTATGTCTTTTAGATCCAAATTGAAATAGTGCCTGGGTGTGCTATAGGAATAATATTTATAATTTGCAAATTTTCTCTAATGGAATCTTATTGTGTAAGCTTTTGGTAGTAAGATTTTGGTAGTTTTAAATTTGGGATTTATATAGATAATCAATTATTGTATTAACATACTTTACATAATGGAGTAAAGTAGTGGAAACAGCGAAGTCATACCAAAAACTATAAAACCAAACCCAGAATGGGATGATCCCCCACACAAAAAGAATAAACAGCTTCATCTATTTTTTGAGCGTATATCTTGTATATATATTCTTTTTTATAACAGCATATTCTTTACTCCGAAATATTAAATTCACAGGCTAGGGCACAAGTTAAGTCTGATAAATCAAATGTAAACGTAAAAAAAGATTTATGATCAATTAAAAGTGAACTGCAATTTTCCAATAAACATTTCTTGTTGTAAATTGGCTAAAATAATTAGCTACATAATTACTATAATGGTGGTATGCATTTGTCTCGTATTGATTTACTGTTAAAATCATTATCAATTTATTTCGCTATTTTGAAATAAAACTCAGGAATCAAATGAATAAATAAGTACTCCAGCATGCCATATAATTTTTAACTGTTCAGGTTTGATATATCATTTTGTTATTACCGATGTTCATAAATTGTTATTTGTAGGTAAATTTCTCGTGAAGAAAGTTTAAAAAAAATGTGAGGCAAACGTAATAATCGATAAGGAATCGATTACATTCGGTTAGATTCAATTTTGTTGCCGTGTTAAAACACAACAATATAACATAATATTCTTTACTCTAATTGAAAAAAATGGATACGGAAACAAAGTAAAGATAGTCATAGTGGGCGCTCATAACGAGGCGCCGACTCTCGCTCCAATCATATAATCGTACCAGATTATCGATCGCTAGGTAAATTAAATGCATTATTTTAAATGCAAGCGCTCACTCTATCTGCTATGCTCTAGGCGAGGATACGATGCGATGGTCTTCGTTATGAACATACCCTTTCGATCGTCAACGGATAGGTACACTTCCCGTCATAAAAAACTTTTACACTTTTTTTCCCAATGTAAATCAGTGTTCAGAATGGACACAGTGGTTCAATGAATTAATTCGTTGTTGCTATCGCAGATAACGGAATTGCACTAAATCTAAATAATAAAAAAATAACGTTCAAACTAATAAATATAAATAAATATAAAAATAATATAAATAAACTAATAAATTTAATAACCAGAGAGACGGTTTAGTTAATGTCCAAAATGTTTGAAGAATTTTTAATAAATAATAAATTTTTAATTTTTCCAGTGTGTTTTATTTATTCTAGTATGCCACAACTTAATTCAGTTTTGTGCTACACTTTACGAGAAACGAATGAGATCTCTCGATTTGAAATTAAACATAATAATTTTAAGTCATGTCAAGATTTTTAATTATCTAATATTATTTTTGAATTGAAATATATTCATAAATTATAATAAAACGCGATTCAAGCCTTACTTTTAGCTAGCTGGTTTGATATAATATATTCGTTGTTCTGGCAACGTTGCCCTAAAAATAAGAATGACATATGTGACAAGATCAACTTACAGAGCTTGAAAAACACGATTTTCGGTTATAAAAGTTGTACCAGTTTTTTATGACTTTACCATAAGAATTTTACCATATATTCGTACAAAAATCAAGTTGATCAAAAGTTGATATTAGATACAGTAAAATACCAGCTTAATACACAGTTGATGCAAAGAAGCCTTTTTTTGCTGATGTAAAATTACCTGAATAATAGTAACATTGCAACAAATACAGTGCCTCACAAATTTGACCTGACACGTGAATTTCCAAAGTTTTCTCCTTTTAGTTACGTTGAATTGCCCTGTATAAAAATTAAATAAATTTATCAAAATAAAAGTGTATTTGTTTTTTGAAAGTTTGTCATCTTTATGGCCGGAAAGAAACTATTTGTTAAGGCGCTCTGGATAAATCTAAAATTTTCCTTGTATTTATAAAATAATGCTTGTTAAATTAATAGTATTACTTTTTTATGATCGTGTTCCTTTTGTGTGTAATAAATATTGCAATGGAAATGTTGCAAGAATCTTTTTGCTCATGCAGAGCCTAGAAAAATCTTGCATTGATGAGTTAAGTTGTCCATCATAAAAAACAATTTAAAATGCAGTGTAATTTGTCTGCGCTTAGTTGCTTGCATAAATGTAAAAAATGTTACCGAAGCAGAAGATTTAGAAGATATACAAGAACATGTTGTAGTTGGCGATGACGATAACAAAACTCACGAAGAAATAAATTAAATAATTAGAGAAATTTTCTATTATGATTAAAAGCTAAAAATGTTGAATCTTATTTTATAAAGTAGAATACTTTTTTAAAAATGTTATAATTAACATAAATAAATTTGGTTTATTTCTGTGTCTCACCAAAAAACTGTTTTTTTAAGTTTAAATAAATAATTAAATAACACAGCGGTAGTTAACGAAAAAATAAATTGGTTTCAAATAAAAAAGAAATTTTTTATTTGATTAAAAAATGTTATAAGCAGGTTCCTGTGGTAAACTTTGTATTAACTTTTTACTGTAACATCGAAGTATCATAATTTTTCAATTAAAGCAAGATTTGGCTTTTGGGTAAGAAATAATCAATGTATTTCGCATTTTTAATCGTATATATAATAATAATAATAATAATAGGCAGACACTTCTGACAGTTCCGATTTGAAAAAAGCTTTTAACTTGTAAATTTTCGATTTCTTAAGATTTGTTGATGAAACTCGACTTAAGTTTGTCGTGTGGCCTTTTTTTTTGCACTGACCACGTTTCCTTACGTATAATGCAATTTGATGCAGTAATAATGACGTATAATAAAATTATTGAATGATGATCACCTAAAAAATTGCCCACAAAACCCATACTGCTTCCCTCTTCCAACAAAGTTACTATTGTTAAATTCAGCATTGCTTAAACGACGGTAGTATTTATGTTTTTAGCAAATAGATTAATTTGGTTGATCTTTCAACCTAACCTTTGTTACAACAAGAAGATAATCATTTGAACAACAAATTTAAACGAAACACGAACCAATCTAAAGTAACATAAGTGACATGAACAAAGTAATTATTGTTTTCCTTTTACAAAATAATTGACATGCACGGTAATAATTTAAAACTGACAAAAATACATACTTGACATATATCACTTATGATTTCTTATAGTAAATATTTCTCTTCAATAATCAATATAAATTGAACAGGATTAAAATTTTGAACAGGAGTATAAGATGGCGCACAAAGGGGCGAAAACGTTAAAAAATGATTAAATCATCAGGAGATTGAAGTACAGCCTGGAAATTTGACAGACTTGTTTGTGTTACCAAGTAGTTGAATGTTATATATTATGAAACGAATTCGAGGATAATGAAATGTTCAATACATAATAATACAATTGTAAATAGAACAAATATTTTTCAAAAAAGTGGTGTGAGGTATCATTCTTAATATAAATTCATATTATATTAATTTGTGTGGGGTGTCAAGTAATACAAATGACATTTTTATAGGTAATTATAAATGTAAGAATTTATATTATATTATTTATCTATGATTTATATGGAAGAAAGTTTATTTTATTTATATAAAAAACAAAAGCTATAAAAAACGAAACTGCATCCATTGCAGTTTCATTAATTTCAGTTGATGCTCCGTCAACATCAGAAATTAACTGTTAAGCATCAGATTCAAGCTCCCACGATAGATTAACTAACAGATCTTCACGAACTAACATTTTATATAATTGTCTGTTGTGGCTTGGTCATTTTACGCATAGCAAAACAGGACAACAAGACATCATATTTACACATTATGTTTTGAGAACTGTAATCTGATATACGTTTTCTCAATTTTACATTTGTATCTATACTTCATCTAATCTATTTACCGTTGCACGTCATCCGTGTCATAGTCCGTGAGGTCACATGATACCAACACGAAATATTTAGGCGGTAGTTGTGTTCTTTTTTAGAATCACTTTGCCGAGTACACTGGCATTACAGCCACTAGACATATTTTATTATATACTCGTAGAAATAATATTTAAAGATTTCTATTATTGTTAACTTAAACACAATAAAATACACAATAACATATTTCATTTAATTTGTATAAATACATTATAAAGCGTTTTTATGAAGAACATTTTTTTGGAACACACTGTAACTGTAATCGAACGAAGGTGATATTTTGGCATAAATTGGTAATACTTATTTGACAGTTGCGGTGTTGACACTTTTTGTACTTTATTATTATGAATTTTAAAGTGAATACCTCTTGGTTTATATTTTTACCTATTTAATAAAATCTGTTCTTTTTATATCAAAATTAGTGTGTTTTATTTAAAAAATGTCACGTAAGAATTTAAATAGTCGTTGTAAAGAGATGGTAATACTTTTGCAATAATTATGTGACCTATTTGATTTAAAAATGGATTCAGGATTTTTTTATACTTTGGCAACTATGTGAAGTTCGATCTCTGTCAATGATAATCACGTGCAACGGTAACTAAATTA